ATATGAGAGTTTAAATTTTGCACTTTGACTCTATTTATTTCTGTTGGAAAAATACTTTTCCAAGTTTTGTTGCTACAAGCTATTAAAAGAGGAAACAGGGAAGCTGTAACCTGAATTGTATCTCTGTTTAATGTTATTTGTGGCTTTTATTGGCAAAATTTTTGTATCTTTACTAAATAATTATAAAAAAACATATACAAGATCATCGGTATCATTAAATAGATATGAAAAAATGTCAAATGCCAAAAATATTTGACAGAATTTTTTCATTTTTTCCATGTTCCTGGTATCTTATCTTACTAAAATTTTTTCTCTGGGGCGCGAGTTCTGGCGCATCTGTATATAGACCTTTAGCAATTTTCAATAATATTAAACAGTTCCTTGATTTTTTATTAACAATCAAAGATTTAATGCAATTTTTGTCAAAACTGTAATTTTTGAGTTACTATAGTTTTCGTTGGGAGAGTCGATATGTTACATAACAGAACTCAGAAAAAAATGCTCTCCTTAAAAAAATTAAATTCAACCCTTTGACATAAAAAAAAACTAGTTAGCCTTGTATCCACAGAACAAATGAAGATAGAAGTTTGATAAACATCTGATGCGATGGAATTTAAATACTTATAATCATATACCAAATTTCAAAAAGTTTTGATGAACAGTTTTTATCTATAGGTAGGTACTTATTAGCGACCCTGTATAATTAATTCTACATTTGCCTCTTTATCTATCGGCTTTACGAACATCAAGAGTTGATTGAATGTTGTATTCCTTTTCTCCTTTTCTCTTGTAAAGTTACAAGTTGATATATCAATATCTATAGATACCATTCTCTACACACGAGTATATAGAGTTGCTAGCTAAGAAACAGATTGCTTGATTTTTTCATATCTTTCCTACTCTGTACGTAACCAGAATCGGCGTAAACACAAAATCACAAAAATATAATAGGTAAATCAAATTTTTAAATTTTGTTAGTTTTATGTTAAATTATACAGGGTGTTTTACATAACTTCGTTAAGATTTTATTGTTCATAGTTATAATAATAATCTTTATTCTTCGAACTGTCAAAAATTACGGTTTTTCTTCTGTGTAAGGAAGTTTCAACAACTGTTTGGTATTTCTCAATACGAAACGTCAGATTATTTTTAACAGATTTAAAGCAATTTAAGAGCCTTGTTGAGTCTAATTTTAAGAATAAAATGTCTTCGTGTAAATCGATTCATTTATTCCACCTTATAAAAACCTTGGTTTAAAAATCCACTCGTGAAATAAAGCGTCCGATTTAATACACTTAAATTTCTCAAATAAATAACTATTACCATTATTACTACGAATAAATATAAATTACTGTGTAGCCTATCATACAAAAGGGAATTAGTTTAATCTCTAAACAGAGAAAATGTCGTTCTTCTCTTGATTTTTCGAAAATATGCAAATTGGGCGAACGATAAATAACAACGAGCAATTTGGTTACGATCGGATAACTTGTTGTTTTAACTTGGTAACTTGCTTAGTTATGAGTTTTGGTATATACATTTGCATACCTCTAACTGTGAAACAAAGAGGCTAGAAATTGCACAATCTATAGTATTTTAGGTGGTTACTAAGATGGTTAAGATCTACCGTCATACACTATACTCACGATGGGGTGAGTTTTTAAATCTTAGTGATGAGTTTTTGAATATTTGTATTCCTGTACTCATTCAACGATCAACGGTCTGGGCAATTTCTGTCAGCAAAACTTTCAGAAAAGAAGCTACCGCCCTGGGTTATGTCCGCATCCTCCAAAAATGATTATTATTTCCAAATAATCAGCGGCTGAATTGATGGTTAAAACTTATTAACTTAAACGACATAATTGACATCTAACACAAATTCGAACTAATACACCCGTGTACTGCCTCTACAGCGAGAAAAAAATTATGAGTAAAAAATAGCGTGTTATGTCAACATAGACATTAAATTAATAAATGTCAAAATTACAGTAAGCCAGATATTTTTTGAAATTTTTAGGTAAATTGGTATTGTTTCTGTAACATAGCAACGGATAAGTATAATTTTTTAATCACAACTCTCAACTTTCTTATGCAAGCAAAAGTTACTTCTTCGGCTGCACTTTTTGGTGACTTATTACCGCCGGCAATTGACATTTGACAGCTTGTATATAAAAATTCACATTGTGGAAGAAAAAAATCTGCAGCTTCGACTGCAACAAAAGTCATTAATGTCATTATTTTGTGTTTTATTGTAAATCATAAATACGTCAACCAATTAATAATTATTTTAATATTGCAATCTATGTTTATAAAGTTGGAATAAGATCAAGAAAAAAATACAGAGTATTTCACGAGTAATAATGAGCCTGATGGAATTGAAAACACAATACCGAATACATTTGCAAAGTTACAAAGTTAACGTGAATGTTTTAGATATCACATTGTTTGAAAAACTGATTATGAATCCACGATAGCTTTACTTCCACTAATTTTATTTGTCACAATTGAGATTAAATTAAACAAAAAGTCAAAATGCAACGATGAGAAAACAGATCTGACTGTCAATTATGGCGAATGTGGCAAAAATGCTTCTGCCGTTGAGCAAACGCGCAACAAACGTAAAGACAATGTTTCCTCAAATAAAAAAGCTCCAAAAAGGCTTGATAATTAAAGTGTTTTGGTGGAGAGAGAAATAACCTTAAAACTTGCGTTTCCTCTCTTGTCAATTTCTTTGTGTCAATTATGCGATAACTATGTTTTATTAATTTTAAAATTCGTAATCAAAATCCATCCAAATCCATGCAAATATATTGCTGGCTGCAGTTCAAATTTGGTCAGACTCGTGAAATACCCTGTATATCTAAAAAAAAAGAAAATTAAATATAGTTTAATTTTTTAAAAATTGTACTAAAAAGTAAAAAATATTTTTATCTGCAAACGTCACAAAAGTGACCACTTTTATGACTAAATGACACAGGTAAAAGTTTTACTTTTCAGACATGGAGTAAAAACACTGTTTTTACGCCTAGGCGTTTTTACTTTTACTTGACACTTACTTTGACATTTATCACTGTTGTCTCTTTCTTGTCTCTTTCACTTTTTCAGCATTTTCTGGAGAGGTTCAAGGTAGATTATCAGCATTCGACATATTGCACTATAAACTACACCAGTTATTCACCAGTTAAATCAATCAATTTCGAAATCTCAACACAAATTCCGAAACTGACGCGTGACGTTTGTTACGATTTTATTGCAAAGCGTCCTGATTATTGAAGTGATTTACTTGATTATTGGTGTGTTGCTCTTTTCATTCCATCTGAATCGTTTGCAGATAAAATAGTATATGGTATTTGGAGTAAAAGTGATTGTTTATGTGGCTCAGCTGAATCCATTTGCCTCACTCCGTTCGGCAAAATGAACGTTCAGCTTCGCCACATACACAATCACTTTTACTCCTAATAACATAATCTACTATTTTGCTATCAGAGAAGAACATTTTTGCTCACAGCTTGAGTTTTTAATATTTATAAAAGCTTTTGAAGCTGTTAAAACACTACAAGTATTCACTATTACTTGGCTTTGTTGATCGCCCCCAAAGCTTTTATAAATTTGAAAAGCATAAGTTGTGACCTGTAGAAATTTTTCTTTTCTATCGAATGGAGTTGGTTCCATCTTCGTATTTAATTATAAGTATTAAGGGCCGAGATATTTATAACTGTTTATAACAATTGTTAATTGTTTATAAACTAATTAAAGTTAATATTATTGTATTGTCACGGGCTCACGGGAGTTGTGTGTAAATTTGCAGCAGACAGACAATGAAGCAAGTTAAATAAAAGCTTATAATTACAAAAACAAATGAAACCTATTGGAAACGGTTTCGTTTGAAATGATTAAACAGAAAGTTTTCGAATTTTGATAAAAGCTAAGGCAAAAGCAAATCAAATGATGACAGTGTTAAAATATGAAGTGACATGAAATTGACTTTTCTCCTTGTCGCAGATCCGATTTTCTTATTTCTTGCTATAATATAATTTTATCTTAACAAAAAAAAATAATTCAAGTGACCCTCAAACCTTGTTTTGGAACTAAATAACACTCTTAATGATAACAATTCTGTGGGGTTTTTTCCTCGGTTACAATATTTATGCACTCTTCTATTACCAGGTCAATTTTCAACCAAGACCGAAAACATCCTGTACTCCTAAATACATAAATTAAAACAAGTCTTATTTAACTCTTATTGTCATTTTAGAATTCATCAAAATATGATACCTAGGAGTAGTATTTATTATACCTACACGAAAGGTAAACAAAATTAGAATTTAGTTGGTAACTTAACAATTTTGTTATAAGAAATATTTATTCATTACTTAACGTAAGTTGTTGACATGTATATTGTAGATATTTATACTTACACTCTTTTAAAATGTCGTAACTTATTCATTAATACTATAAAATAATTACAAAATATAAAAAGTGTGATTTCACTTTCGTGTATTTTTCCATCAATTTACACCAAACACAAAAGAATGTTGATTCACATTACTCCATTAGGCTTGAGTAAGGCTGCTTATGTACTTTATCAGATTAAGTATGGTAAAAGGAACAAAATACATCAAATATTTTGCAATTATTTCTCACCATAACAATTTTATTCTTCTTAGGTTTTGGGTCTGTTTATAGAAAGCAATTTAAAAATTTATGCGTGGTTAAAAGTTAATGCGCGATTAACCCGTGAATCTGAGCATCTGGTTGGTTCATTTTGGTCAGGTGATCAGTTAATCTAATGTTTGATTGCAATTAATTTAATGACGATTCTATAAAACCGACCCTTAATGTCAGATTTATTAAACGTAAGGTGATAAACTTTTGATCTTTAAATATCGTGAATGGACTTTTTCACCTCTTTGAATTAGGACATCCAATAATTATTGTTTCTTGAGCTGAAAAACTGTAGGTAACAAATAAAACTACAAAGCAAAAGCGGTTTATAACTCTCTCGATATAATAACATTATATTTGGAAAAGTCTCAATAATTACACAAATATTCAAAATAAATAAAATAACAGCGATTAATTAACTTTTGTCTTGCCATTTTGTACATTGTTGTTGGTCTTCTCTAGAGCCTTCGGTTTCTGAATATACGTTTTATGGTAAAAGCTACCAAACAAAAATAGGAAAAACAATGCTTGTGTACCTAACAACATTACTATAAACTTTGGGTAATCACATTGCCGGAACAACACTTGTAAATTATGGAAAAAGATTATGCAAAATTGCACCTACAATCTCTCCATTAACAAAACAAATAATAACCTAAGGCCACTTACCATTTGCATAGCTGTTAAATGCTTTTTCCACCATAAATATTTTTGGTACTGAGGCCCCATCGAAGACACGAAGTAATACGAGTACATTATTATATGAATGAAAGAATTGATCAATCCTAGCAAAGTACCATGACCACCCGGCAAAAATTTCACACCGATCCAAGAACAGATCGGCATCATAGCGTGATGGTACAGATGAAGAAATGTAACCTGATTCATTTTCTTCCTCAAGACGAAAAAGACCTACAAGATGAAAGTGAAAATGGGATCACTTAACGCAACTTCGTACCAACCGTATCGAGCAACTCGATTATCTTACAAAGGAAGTACAACCAGACAGCTTGGGCCATCTAAAACGAAATTATAAAACGCAACTGCAATGAAAACGAGTTCAACATACCCGAAGAGCCATGGGATTGTCTGAATAATCCACTGGCTGACATTTAAGGCTGTAACCTGTAGCCCATCCTCCCATTAATCCCTGAAACACCTCATTTAATGTCTAAACGCATGACTTGAACTTAAACTGACCTCGTACACGAGAAATATACTGAATATGACTTGTAGAAAATTGTACACTATGATTGCATTTTTCAAATCGAAGGGTTTCCTATCTTTCATGTAACGAGGGCCGGCGTAAATACAAAAATATAAATAGGTTGCGATTATCGTGAGGACAGGTCCTGGAGAGCCTATAAGAAACCATTTCGATGTCCTAGGATCTGAAAAATTCCATTGCAACATAAACTACAAGATTAATTAATTGAACAATACGGATTTTTAATGAGGTAAGGTTTTTCCCATGTGCAATCGGACACTTTGAGGTAAGTGAATTTTCCACCGCAAATAGTTGTTTTTAAAAATATTAAATTTCATTTGGTTTGAAATACAATAAAGGACTTACCACTTTTCGTTTCGAGAAAATACGTGTAGTAGTTTATATAATCCATATAATCTAAACTGATGTTGATCGGTACCTTCATTAAATTTGCCTGCAATTAGAAACGTAATGGTAATTTTCAAGAATGCATTTTCTTGTCATTAAGCAATTGCTTCTTAGTCAACGCCCGGAGTATTTAAAACATTCCATTTATAACGACCGAGCAGGTTCAAGTGAAAATTTAAGATAAAATTAGGAAATAAACAGAGTGGAAAATTAATCTGATTGGTAGTTACGCAAAGAAAAACAAAAATAAGACAAACGATCTGTTTAAAAGACGTTTCTTAATAAAAGGTTATTTATTATTCGTTGTGACACCAAATAATACCTAAGGCAATTCATTAATAATAAGGCTCCGAGAAAGTGTGGTATGTTGCCACTAAAATTACGTAAGAAATCTAATTGGTCTCCTATAATTTCATTTAGTTTGATATTAAAAACCAATTCATTGCGCCGCGCCGCAAGCAAAAAAAAATTCACGATTTAACTCGTTCAGGGCTACTTCCGATTTCTTAAATTTATCACAAGTTTACCTTTCTGGAGGTCAATTAGTTTCACTTGTTTGTTTATATTAATATGTGCATCCGGAAGAAAAACAAATACTCACTTAATTTAACCTAAATCACAAAAAAACCTCAGCCTCACTAGGTTGTCGAGTTTTTCAAAACTATAATTTCTATGGGGCAAATCGCGCACTTAAAACACCATCTTCTGGTGTGCAATTCGAAATTTCACTGCAACCTGATGGGGCCGAAGACTTGACAATAACTGACATAGAACTTGACTAGCACTGATAGTTTTGAGATTCGGTAAATTACGTGTGGGGTTTGCTGCAAGTCTTTGTGGACAAGTGCAGGTGGGAGAATTCATTGCTCGCTCCAGCAAGAAGCTAAATTGTCGGATTCATCGAAACCTCCGCAAAAATCGATTAACCGGATTCCTCGCCGATGGACTCGTCAAAAATCCCGTCCCGAAATTTTCAGACCCAAACTCGCTTACCTCAGCCAAGCTTTCATCTCTTGCCGGCAAAGCACTACGCCAGGAGTGTACTGACACTCAGCATAGACAACGCAAACTGTTATCCAGCGACTTTTTCAATTTCTGCATCAACACTTTTACTTACAACTTGCACAAGAACTCGTTCCGTTCACTGAAGCTGCGGTGGCGTTTGCGTCATCAATACAACAACAGAGAGAAAAAATAAAAGATGAACACGCCAAAAACGCAATTAAATTCAATTAAATCCAGGATAATACTCTTTTCACTTATCTGGAAAAGTGAGTGGTGGCCTATGAATGGTCTATTGTAATCGCTTTTATGGCCAATTTGACGAAAATTCATTTAATTAAAATTGACGAATCTTTAACCTTCGTCTACTGTCTTACCTAATGATTAAATGTTGATTTACTAATATCGAAGTTTGTACACAAATGTTTGGACACCGGGCTGTGATAAAACAAACATTGATTTAGCAGTAATAATGCATTTTCATTGAAATATCTACCATAGTATATGTACTTTGATTTTCGAGTTGTAAATAGTAATGACCTTAATACAGCCACGGTTAGTTGGCAATACTTGTAAACAGTCAGTTAATAATTTTTATTAAATAATTTAAAATAAAGTTTCCGCATTGTGAAACTAATTATTATTAATCGTTACCGGTTTTGTGCTGCTATTTTTTATGCAATTTATATTGCAACAGTACATCACATGCATAAAGTCCTCAACATTGTTCTTCATTTAATTTATTCTGAAACCGGATAAAAATTGGCCCAATCAAGATGAATTTATTAAAATGTGGGTGTAGTTGAATACATATTTCATATAAATGTCAACCCTTTTACTTCCACATTATAACTAAAATTAGGAAAAATTATTTAGAAAAGCGGTTAAGTTAAACTCGGTGGTTTAGTCAAATTTATTCAATAATTTACTTAAAACGAGTATCATATTTAATTCAGCTGTTCTGTAGTGAAAGATTATGAGTAAAATATATATCACAACACCATATAATTATACCTACAAATAATAATTAATAACTTCCTCTGTTTATTATGTATAATTATTTAATGTTTATTGTTTGAATTAGAACTTGGCGACATTTAAGAATGATAAATATAAGAAATTGTCTTAAAGACCCAGATTTCCATAATAAATTTACCTTGCATGTTAAAAGTTGAAAAGTATGATATTTCAACTTCATTTAACAATTAATATGAAATATCAGGTTCAGATTGGGAAGTGGTCACTTCCTCATCAGTTAATATGTAATATGACAGTATAGGATCCCAACGCGAAAACTGATAAGAAAGTGACCACTTCTCAACCTGAACTGTCATGTTATGTTTTTTATAAATTTGATAATTTCTTATTGGCTTTCTGTTCTTTAAGAAAAATGATTGTGAATAAAATAGTATATAGTATTGTGGTCTTTGCTTCATCGCACCCCGGCTTATTGTCTTGTTCATCAAATTTCGCCTTGTTAATGAAGCACCTCCCACCTCAGTATGTAATTTACTATTATACCACGAACAAAAGATGAAAAATGATATACCTAACAATTACACGGCAATTAAATCTAAAATAAAAATGCATCTAAATTGCATCACCTCCAAATAAATAAGAGTTCAACCATCTAAAATTAATTTTATTGGAGGTAGAAATATGAAGGAAAAATTCATTAACTTTTCCACCTAAAAATCATAACCTACTTATTGTTTGTCATTACAATCAAATATTGCAATGAACGTTGTAGACTCAACAGCTATTGTGTTAAAATTTTTGATTAATTCTCACACAAATGCATTCCATTTATTATTTAAATAGAATTAAATAGATCACACACAACATAGACAAGGTTTGAGCACTTAATGGATAAAATCTGTCAACATGGGTAGTTGGAATATGGTTCTATTGTTAATCAATTTATTTTGTAATTTGCGAGCGATGTTTGTTCCACTGAGTCCACTGCAATTACAAGTAAATTTGAACGCAACAGTAATCAACTAATCATTAAACTACTTTCTTAAATTACTCTTGTAAACTAACATATTGGTAATTTGCAATATTTTTTAATGTATAGTTGCGATCTCAATTAAAGGTGTTAGTTTGTTGAGAAAATACCGTTTCTTTTTTCAGTCATTCATAATTTCCAATAAGACTATAAGAAGGAAGGTTTTAAGAAGCCAATTAGTCTAAAGCTTAGATTTCCTAAAAAGCGGTACCGTAATATTATGGCCGTAATGTGACGGTGACTGACGTCACAAAAACGGTGGCGATTATATTTTGCATTACGTTATTAAAAAATGTTACGTGGTGTTCACCGTCTTTTAGGAAACCATCTCAATTCAAAAATATTTACCGTTTTTGTTTTGTCAATTGCCGTCATATTACGGACGTAATTTTACGACACCGCTTTGTAGGAAACCTCAGCTTAAGTCAAATCATCTTAAAAACCAGCTAATTAAGCATTAAAAAAATGTTTAAAAAAGGCTTGCAAAAGTAAAAAATAAAATCTTTATTAAAATAGAATTGATAATAATAATAATAATAATGTATTAATTTATGTGCATTGCCAACGGAAAGATTTAACAACACATCAGGGACTTCTGAACCGCATAAATCATTTTGAGAAAAATTGTGACTTAGATTGATAGGTTTCTGAGCCCTCTAAAGTTTAATTTATAAAATCAAATTTAATTTGAAATACAGGGTGTTTACGGTCTTAGAGTTGAAAAGTGACCTAGTAATAGAATTTGTTATTATTAAGAAAGTTCTTTGACTCTAAAATATTGGTACACGGTTTGAGGGCCACTGGAATTATTTCCTGTTCAGATAAAATTGTATTGTTGCTACAATTAAAAAAATCGTATCCCTGACAATGAAAAAGAAAAGGCACTTCATAGTTTTGACACTGTCATCAACTGATTTGCTTCTGCTTTAGTTTTTATTAAAATTCGAAGATCTTCTGTTTAATTTCTTCCAGCGAAATCGTTTCCAATAGTTTTAATTCGTTTTTTGAAATTTGTTTTCTAAGTTATGAACATGGATGGCAAAAAATATTGAAATAATAAATTGGTTGTCGTGATTATGAGTTACAAGTAATGCAACAAGTAAGGACATTGTTGAAGCCGAAGCAGCAGTTCTCAAACAAATAATATAAAATGAATTATTTCCTTTCACAACGTGAATTTTTGTTTTCGTATTCGTTTTCTTCTACCGTGAATATCATTTTATTTAAATTTCAGCCTCAAGACCTTAAACACCCTGTATATTTTATCGTGTTTCTTTCGCAAACAACTCTGAAGAAAAACAATAACTGACTGAAATAAAATAGCTACAATAAGATTAATTTGTAATTACGTAAAGATAAGTGATGGTCGTAATCCACATTAACAGGGGAATTATGTTTACTGCTAATAATTGCTCATTAAAAGCACAATACAAAATTAAAATTTTTGTAAATAATTTAAGCAATAATTAATTCTTATCTCTTGAGTTAAAAATGAATCAAAAATTAGTAAGACAACTTTTATGAACTTACAATAAAACTCTGTAGATTTTTTGCACGAAAAAGTGCATTTTAGAATACATACATTGCAGTTGAGGAATTGATCACAGCACTAAGATCCGTAGCAACGTTTCAACTCTTATAAATTCGGAAGCTTGCAAAAACGAGAAATTCCGGACAAAAAGGAAGTTAATTAAATGAAAGTATTAATTAATTAATACTTCCAGTTAGTTACCTCTGTGTGTAAGGTCAACTTGCCAATCCATTGAATTTCAGAGGTTTTTGTCATTGCTCTTGTTATTGACTTGCATTAAAAAACTGCAAAAAGTTATTGAGTCAATAGATCCGATTTGCATCTTTTAATGAAATGAATATATATGTGAAAACTTGCATTGTTCAAAAAAATAAAGTAAAAATGTGAAACGTGAGGAACACATACGCTCCAAGGTAAACTCGTTTTCTTATTTGATGCGTTTAGTACAAATGTATAATAGTGTTGTAAGGAGATACATTCTTTAGCCACCTATTATTAAAAAATTGCAAAAATCTCTCTCAATTGCGTTTAAATGATTTGCAAAATTTCTTCTTTTTATTGTTTGATTTATATAATTTAAAATTGTTAGGTAAATTGTCGTAACGAAACACTCTATGCTGAAGAGTCGGTTTGTAGTTTTGAAGGTCACTCTTCATTATTCACTCGATTAACAAGAAGAAAGTTCATAGCTAATCTTTGGACGCAATGAGTAAACAAAACTAACCTTGATGGCAAAATCCCAAAAGGTACGAATAGCTTTTCTAACTCATTTTAATAATTAGGTTTAAATGATAGCTAAATTCCAGAAATACAATACATTTCCTAAGATTGTCCACAAATGTGAATATTAGTACATAATATGAAAATGAAATTTTAATAAAGTTAGTACCTAGGAGAACAGTTTTTGTATTATGTTCACTGCACTACAATAAACAAAGAACTGTCACGTCACATCATGTAGCATTTTTGTAATTCTTGACATTTGAACTCCACCTAATTTCAGATGCAAAAAGAAGCTAATTAATCAATAATTATCGAAGGTAACTCTAGAAATATACATACCTACATAAAATAAAAATCTAACAAAAACTATGTGACAAATGTGTAAAGTCATAGTCATGAATTATACTGGGTGATTTTAAGGTATACAGGGTTATTCATAATATGAAGCAATATTTGAACCTCAAAAATGACCCATAAAATGATGTTAATTTTTATAAAAACTCGTGTCCTAAGAATTTTACAGCCCATGGAATTTTGGTATGGAAATTTGTTTTTTTTGTAATAACTTTGGAACCATTTGACCAAATATTATAAAATTTGGAATAGTTACTTGCGAGAACATATCTTTTTTTTAAAACTAATAATCACAAAAACCGGATACATCTACTCAATTTC